TGTATTTAAGTGCACCACATGTATGCAATGCTACAGTAGCCAGAAAAGGGTACTGGAGCCTCTGAAACTAGAGTTACAGATGGATGTTAGTCACTATGTGGGTGCTGGGAACTGAACCAGGGTCCATTGCAATTGTTTTTAACTGCTGAGTTCCTTCCATCTCCTTTTTAATGTGTAAGAAATTTACCATGTAACTAAAAATGAAAGTATAGATTCCCACAAAAATAGATATTGTCAAAAACCTTAAGAACTAAAATCTGTGGCTAGAGAGATGGTTCAGTGGTTAAGACCACTCTCTGCTCTTGCAGAGGACTCAGGTTCAAATCCCAGCACCAACATGGCAGCTAACAACTGTCTGTAACTCCAGTTCTAGGGGATCTGACACCCTCTTCTAGCCTCTGATAGCATTGCATGGCATGGGTCTACTTAAACACACATGCAGGCAATACACTCATACACATAAAATAAAAATAATAAATAACAGGGCTGGAGAGATGGCTCAACAGTTAAGAGCACTGACTGCTCTTGCAGAGGACCCGGGTTTGATTCCCAGCACCCACATCGTGGCTAAGAACCATCCTTAACTTCAGTTCCAGGGGAATCCAAAGCCCTCTTCTGATCTCCGTGGCATTGTGCAACATGGGTGCACTCACTTACATGTGGGCAATACACTTATACACATAAAATAAAAATAATAAAATATTAAAAAAATAATAAATAAAATATTAAAAAAGAGCTAAAATCTTCAAGCTTCATAAACACACATGGCTGCTTGTGGAGTACGCAGGGTGCCATGATATATATGGGACCGTGTCAGCAATGTTCTCTCCACAAATTGCATCCTGGCACCTGATCCCTCAATATAATGTATTTGCAACTCTCTACTACTCAGCAGCCTTCTCAAATGTACCGGTGCTATTAAACTTCTCCATGCCATTAGTCATACTCTGAGGTAAAACCTGTGTGGGAGTTTCTAGACTCCACAGCCTGCTTCTCTTGATAAATGAAGTCTACATCCAGACAAGTGATTTGCTCTTCTTTTCCATTATGCATTATTTTAATTGATAAGCTAACAAAAACCAATATCAAGATTTAGGAATCTGGTTAGCACCATTTTCTAACATATTTCTCATTTAGATTTTAGGAAACAGTAAGTTAAGAAGAATGAATATTCAAATCACAATCTGAGTCTCAGTAACCTTAGTCTCTTTGTTGATTGTTTACTGTACAGCATTGCTCAGATGGCGCCCCAGCCCTCACCAATATCTTGCTTTTCCTCCTTTCTATGAACATCCCAGGACTTAGCCATTAGACCTCCTACCTGAGGTATTGATCACTATACTGATCTTAAAAAAAAAAAAAAAACCTTTCTACTTTCTTTTTTAAATATTTTATTAATTTATTTTATATGTATCAGTGTATTGCATGCAGGTATGTGAGTGCACCTGTGTCACACAATGCCCACGGAAGTCAGAAGCCAGTGTAAGATCGCCTGGAACTGAAGTTATAGAGGGTTGTTAGCTACCATGTGGGTTCTGGGAATTGAACTCTGATCCACTGCAAGAGTAGCCAGTGCTCTTAACCACTGAGCCATCTCTTCAGCCCCTCTACTTTCTTTTTTTTTAATTGGATTTTTGGGCATTTCATACAATATATCTTAATCATATTTAGATTACCCCTCCCCTCATCTGTACCCTCCATACCTCCTCCACCAGATTTCATGTATTCTGTAGTACACATTAAGGTCTATCGAGCAAGCTTGTGTCCCTAGATGTCCCATGGTGTGAGTCCATCCATTTCTACTTTCTAAAGGGATTCTTCCGTATTCCAGCAAATGCCCCCAGTACCTTCTCATCCCTGATCCTTCTCAAAACTTTATTGCCGCTCCCTGTTATGCTGTCTTATCAAACATCACTCAGGTCTGGGCTCTCTATCACAGCTGACTGGGGCTGGCTTGCTTTTCTTCATCCAGTGACTCGGCTTCAGAGGCAGACCAAGCTCCCCTAGTCTTCCCATCTTTCCCTACAGAACCACTGAGGAGCAAGCTCAGTTGGAGACAGCTTACTTTCAGGCACTTACACCCTGAAAATTGCCTTATTGTAAAATGTCTTAATTCACGATAAGTGTTAGAGAAATGGAAAGCCCAGGTTACTATAAAAACAAAGAATGAGCGCTTATCTATTAGAGAAATCAGAAATCATTTTCTGAGATGTAATTCAGCTGAATCTGCATAATAATGATGTTAAAACAATGGTGCTCTACTGCTCTACTTTGCTTCCTTTCCTTGTTTGTGAAAATGTAGACTTTGAACCTTATATATTATGCATTTATTCTTTCTCTTCCATTCGTAGTTCTTTTTTGGTTGAATCTCATGCCTTACAGGAAAAGGCCTGTTACTCATTTGAACCACCACTAAAATGTGTGCATCCTGCTCAATTAGCGAAGTCCTATGGAAGGTAAATGGATGCAGTAAGGGAAGAAAAATGCATTATTATCTATTATATATAGTTCTGGATTCTATCATGCTTAAACTTTCTCATGTATCAAATTCATAGATATCACAAACATGCAATCACTTGTGCTGGTTAGACAGGGTCTTGCTACATTGCTCAGGCTGGTAGGAACTCCTGAGCCCAAGTGAGTCCCTTGCTATAACCTGTGGGGTAGCTTGAAGTCCAGGCACCTAGCCCTGTGCCTGGCTCAGTTATGACTTTTAAATTTTCATCTTGCTTTCCATGATCCTCCAAGTTAGCTTCAGCTGTCAACCTCACACAGTCCAGAGTCATCTGAGGGGGTTGCAGTGGTTGGGGGATTGCCTTGATCAGATTGGCCTGTGGGCATGTCTGTGGGACAATTTCCTGACTGCTAATTGATGAAGGAGGGCCCAGTCAATGTGGGTTGTGGGTGATGTGACCCCTAGGCAGGTGTCCCTGGGCTGTATAAGAAAGTTATTGAGTAGAAGTTAGGTAGAGAGGCAGTAGGCTGAGTGCCTCAGTGGTTTCTACTTCAAGTTTCTGCCTCAGTTTCCCTCCATGACAGACAGTAACCTGTAAGATGAAATAAATCCTTCCCTCTCCAAGCTGGTTTTGGTCATGAAGTTTTCACAGCAACAGACAGCAGACTAGAACAATGATTTTCCTACAATGCTCATGCTGGGCTTGTATACTAATGACGGGATGTGCATATATGTGCTGCCTATATATATTTAATATTAGTTTATGAGAGCATGTGGCTGAAGATCCAGGTCTAATTTCAAACTGCTTCCTGATGTACTGGTTAATAAGCAGTATTTTTATTGGAATTATGCATGAAGACAAATTCTGACATTTAGTCAGAAATTCAGCACACTAGACTCCAAAGTACTAGAATGTGCCAAATGGCCTGTTAAACCCTTATCTGGCATCTCTACATAAACCAGTCATCAAACTGGACCTAGCTCTCTAGTGACCGTTACATATAGTGTTACAGAACCTAATTGACACTGACAAAATTTAGTATAGCTGTACCTTGCTACAGCGTGGAAAGAACCAGTTCAATGAACCCACACCTTCCCATTTGAAAAAATACCCACTTTTATGTCTTCACCAGTCATAATGCCTCTAAAAGGAAAATAAATGCCCTTGATCCCTCCCTTTGGTTTCTCGGTGTTTTTACTTAGGACTTGGAGCACCTGGTCAGGTCCTTGAGCATGAATGTGCTCTGGCTGGGGAGAGAAAGTTACTTGGTGGCTGCCAGGTGTGCAAACCCTGTGCAAACCTGAGAGAGGAGAGAGAGCGAGCCAGCCAGCGTCTGGCCTGGTGCTCAGAGGCTCTGGTGGGGACAAGGGCAGGGTGCACCAGCTGTCCAGACCACAGGAGACTGATGTTTACCCCTGGCATCTATTAGTACACCAGAAACCAGGAGACCCCAGGTTTTCCCAGCATGTGTCTGGCTTTCCCTGCTCTGAACTCCAAGAGCCAACACTAAGGGGCACCAGAGCCTCGGACTGCAGTGCCAGCCTGGAGGGCAGCCTGGGCGCTGCGGAAGTCCCGGCGGAGAGGAGCCCACCCCGGCGGTGGCTGGGAGGCGGGTGCAGCGCTGGGGTGGGTGTAGGGGCAGCCAGGTGCCCGGGAGGAATCCTCCGAGATTAGGACCCCAAGCGCCCCGTGTGCGGCAGTGACTCCAGGTAGCGCCGGCGTTTTCCCAGCACCAAAGAGGCCATTTGTCACGATTCACTCTTAGGAGGAAACATGGTCAAACGTGGAGCTGTGGTGTGGATGTGGCTGCAGTGCCGGTGTGCCGATCCATACAGGCAGACATACAGACGCACACACACCGCAGCCCTTCGGTGCCACGAAACATATTTAGGACACAATTGAGCGCAGTGGAGCTGTGTAGCTACCCAAGGCACATTCAGATAGTCTGCAAAGTCACCTCTCCCCTTCTCTAGTCAGCCTTCATTTGGTGTAGATTCCCTAGCGAAGGTGACGATGCCCAGTCCCTAGTCGCCAACAGGGACCCCTTAGCCGCCATTCAGGGACTTGGACTTTGACCCTGGACCGCGGATTGGGTTGGGAGAAGCTGGACAGCAGCCTCGGCCACGCAGCCTGTGTCCTGACTTTCTGAAACAAAAAGTGGGGAGGGTCTGAAGGCCAAAGGCACAGCAGGGCCGGGCGGAGGTTGTCGGGCAGCTATCCCTCCCGCCGCCGCCCCGCGCATCCTCGCCCTCCTCCCCCGGCCGAGTCGCCGCCACTGCGCCAGGATGGAGAGACCTCGGCGCGGGAGGAGATGACGCAAAATCCAGCGCTCCCCCCCCAAAAAGTGTGTCTCTAGGACGAAGATGGCGGCAACTTAGCCCGGGGACTGAAGATGACCGTGGCCTCCGGAGGCCCAGCTCAGGCGATTCGGCCCGGAGGCCAGGGGGAGGCGGCGTCAGCAGTGGGAGCCTCGGCGGCGGCGGCGCCCGCGGGCAGACCTGCAGCTGCCGCGACAGTCGGAGCGCGGGGTGGGGGGTGGGGGGGAGGGAGAGCCCTGCCGGCTGCCCAGGCTCCGGACGCGGGGAGAGCCAGCGCGAAGTAGGTGCGGGAGGCGGAGGAGAAGCCGGAGGAGACGGAGAGAAAGGAGGAGGAAGAGGAGGAGAAGAGGAGGAGGAGGAGGAGGAGGAGAGGAGGAGGGGAGGCGCTCTGGTCGCCGTCAGTGGGCAGCGGAGACGCGGCATGCCCCTGGCAGGGGAGAGCGGGCTGTCCTCATCTGGGCCATGGGGACCCGCGCGTTGACAATGCCGGGGTGACAGCGCAACGCCAGCCACCCGCCACCTCCACCACCATCACCTCCCGCACTCAGCCTGCCCACCGACCAGCACAGCACCAGCCTCCGCCTCTCTCTCTCTCTCTCTCTCTCTCTCTCTCTCTCTCTCTCTCTCTCTCATTGTTTCCCCTCTACGGAGGATGGGGTCGGCTGATGATTAGGTCGGAAGCAAGTGAGATCTTCCTCCTAAGTCGGGTAATATTTATGTAGGAAAAAGAAAAAAGAGAGAGAGAGATAGAGAGGGAAGAGAGAGAGAGAGAGAGAGAGAGAGAGAGAGAGAGAGAAGAAACGGGAGGAGGGGGTAAAGAAATTAAACCCTTTAAGTCAATGCTGCATATTGTGGAGACACCCTCACAGGAGCCCTCACGGTGGAGACGGCCAGGGCTGTACGTTCCCAAAATATGACCAGGGGTGCTTGGATGTGTCGGCAGTATGACGACGGCTTAAAAATCTGGTTGGCAGCACCCCGGGAGAACGAGAAACCGTTCATCGATTCAGAGAGGGCTCAGAAATGGCGACTGTCTCTGGCTTCTCTCTTGTTTTTCACAGTCCTGCTCTCTGATCACTTGTGGTTTTGTGCCGAGGCCAAACTGACCCGGACCCGGGACAAGGAGAATCACCAACAGCAACAGCAGCAGCAGCAGCAGCGGCAGCAGCATCAGCAGCGGCAGAGGCAGCAGCAGCAGCGGCAGCGCCAACAGGAGCCCTCCTGGCCCGCGCTCCTGGCCAGCATGGGGGAGTCCTCGCCCGCCCAGGCACAGAGACTCCTCTCCGCCTCCTCGTCCCCCACCCTGCCCCCCTCCCCGGGAGGCGGCGGCGGCAGCAGCAAGGGCAACCGAGGCAAAAACAACCGGAGCAAGGCTCTTTTTCTAGGAAACTCTGCCAAACCCGTGTGGCGCCTGGAGACTTGTTACCCCCAGGGCGCCTCCTCCGGCCAGTGCTTCACCGTGGAGAGCGCGGACGCTGTGTGCGCCAGGAACTGGAGTCGGGGGGCGGCCGGGGGGGAGGAGCAGCAGGCAAGGGGCTCGCGGCCAACTCCGATCTGGAACTTGTCGGATTTTTACCTTTCGTTTTGTAATTCCTACACACTTTGGGAGTTGTTTTCGGGGCTGTCCAGTCCCAGCACTTTGAACTGCAGTCTGGACGTGGTGCTCAAGGAGGGCGGTGAGATGACTACGTGCAGACAATGCGTCGAGGCTTACCAAGACTACGACCACCACGCTCAGGAGAAGTATGAAGAGTTCGAAAGTGTGCTGCATAAGTACTTACAGTCGGACGAGTACTCGGTGAAGTCCTGTCCTGAGGACTGTAAGGTAGGACCAGTGGATTCTCTTTCCCCCTTTCCTGAGGCTTTTTCATCTCTGTTGAGGTGACTTTCCGTTTTTAAAATCTATTTATCTGGGTCTGGTTTTGTTACTTTAATCGTCCTTTCTCTGGCTCTAAGAGCTTGGCTTTCTGCACAGGGATACCTGGTGGGTTGCTGGTGGCCTGAAATCTTCCTCTGGGACTCTTTGGAATGTCAGGGGAGTCGGTGTCTGAGCTAACATGCCGAGGCACTCACTGTTTCTTAGAGCCATGCATTGGCTCAAACTCTGTTATAGCTTTTCTAAAAACTGGAATTTGAATGAAGCTTGTAAAGAAGATAAAGAAGGAAGGGACTGAAGACCGAGGCGCATAGGTAGCCAAAAGGGCTGGAGGCAGGCACGGGTGACTTGGCAGGTGAACCTGTACATATCACCTACCTATGAAGTTGGCTGACCAGAGGAGCGAGGAGAAAGTGTAGTTTTTGATGTAGGAAAACCAGCAAAAAAACCCCTGCATGTTTGCAGGAGTAGCTCTGATTCTTTGCAAAGTGTGGAGGCCTGCTCTCCTTAAGTTTCCTGTTTTCTCTTAGACATCTGTGTAATTTTTGACCTGAGATTCACCATAGTGGAAGGTTGTAATTAGGTATCCAGTGATGTATTCCCAATGTTATCTTATCATCAGACGCCTTACGTAATTGCTTTGGATTTTTATTCTTTCACTCTCTTCAGGAATATTAAATGACAAATCTTTATTGTTCTAAATGAAAATCAGGGGAAATATTTAATAATTTGTTTGACAGTCAAGCTCTTCCTGTTGAATATAACAAGACCTCTGACCTTGCTGATTAAAAGGGAAGTCTGGGCAAATTTCTTGGAAATTTGCCTATGCAACCTTCCACTGCTGGGGAGTGGGTGGTGTTGCTGTCCAAGGTTCTGAAATCAGGCTTGCCCAAAAGACGTGTTAACACAGGTGCTGCAGTGACCTCTTTAGTAGCGAAGAAAGGATGACAGGATCTCTACAGTGTGAGTGCTAGTTTTCCAAAGTTATTTCTGAAACACTACCAGAAAGTTCTATTGCTTTTCATAAGAAGCAAGATACAGCCCATCCTCTCTTCCTCTTCCCCTTCTCCACCAGGGCTGTACTGGGAAAGTACAATGAAGGGTCATGGAGAGCAAAGGATTTGTGGTACGTTGACTCAGGAAGTTGGTTCAGGGATCTTATTTTATATCAACATAGCTCAAGAACCACAGCTTATAGTTTTGCTAAACTTAAAGTGAACTTCCTTAAATTTTTTTCATTTATTTTTAAGATCAGAAACTTAGACATGAATTAATAATTGATAGTTTGTAACACTGATCAAGAATGTGATATCACTCATTCAGATAAGTGCATCTTAAACTTTTCTATTTATTCTTCTACACATACTACTCTAATTTATGCCTGGTAAATATAATCAGCCTAAATGATAGAAATTAATAATAAAAGCCTAGTATATTTGCTGCATAGTTACGTATTTTGATAGGATACTTGCATTACAAACATAAAGATAAGAAAATTATTGTCTCTAGCAAATGTATTACTAGTAAAATCATTCTGGAGATTTCAGTAATTTACATTTAAGAGCCATAGCAAAAATGTGAATTTGCATGCCCTTCTGTAAGGCCTCACAGAAATTTCTAGTAATTTCAATTTGCATAGCTCATTAATTTCAATTTGCATGGCTCTTATAAATAAAAAGTAGTATGTGTCATCAACTGACAGCAATACCTTCTGTAATATGTCCTTTACCATTGTTGAAATGTTCAAATAAATATATTAAAATGTATTCTTTCCTCTTCACCTGAGTTAATTCTCAACAATGTGTTTATATAATTCTAACTCTAAGATACACTGTAAATCAACTTTATGGTGCTGTGAAGTACACTAGAATCATACTTTTAGATAAAATAGAATTTTTTGAGTCATAAAAAATATTATAAAAATATTAACTCCTGTAAACCATTCCTCTTCAGATTGAAAAGTAAATGTAGATGTTTGGATTTCTCAATGCAATGGAATATGTTACTGGAGATGCTTTAATGTCTTGTAATCCTTTCTTGGCAGTAGAGGGGTGGTGAATTACTTTTTTCAGTTGGAAACACTGATTTCATAATAGCTATTTTAAAACAAATTATAAATTTAGGTTTAAAGTCTAGTGTTTGTGATTTACGATTCACAAATCAACTGGTTGCATGTGGAAAAGTAATACATGTACACTTCCCTAATTTAATGTGTAATTTCTCTATGATTTTGAAAAAGCCAGAGATACACATCTTTACAAACTATAGAAGATGACATACAATTTTAGTTGTTGTCCTTAAAGATCATATCTAAGTTTCTGAAAGCATTTACCATTTCAACATTACAGTGATTAATAAATGAATACTCTTAGGAGCTGTGCTCAAATTCTATAGAAAAATTTCTACCATTTTGGTAGTTACAAAGTCAGACATCAGGCTAAAAGTAAGTGAATTATAATTCTTTAATTGCTAATATATTCCTACAACTGCAATTTTAATAGATTATAGATATACTTATTAAAATTATAGCTAAGATACACAAAACTGTTAATGTTAAAAATTAGTAGCATTAGCATTTTAAGAGAATCATGCTGATTTTTTAAACATAAATATAACTAATTGGTGCAATGATTCCTTCCTTTTCACAGTTAAGATGTACTATTACTTCTTAATTTCATATTCTCTTCTCATTAGAAATTCATTCTATAAAACAAATATGGATTAAATTTGCCTTTTATTTAACTTTTCTTAAAAAGACTTTGAAACAATTCTGATTTTCAAAAGACTTAAAGTACATCTAATAGAATTAAATGATTTAAAACTGAGCTTAGTGATGCACGCCTGTAAGAACATTACTGGGATGAGGCAGGAGAATCACAGACTCCACGCCAGCACGGACTACATGGAAATATTCTGTTTCAAAATTTTCTTTTCTTGAATTTGTAGTAAACTGGACATGAAATATAGCCAGTTTACTTTGGTAAGCCTTTGTATCATACCATATCATGGAAGTAATCTGCACACTAAGATACTTTTACAATTATAAGAAATAGTTGGTATAATATTTTTAAAAAGAAAATATTAGTATTTATACAGAAAAAAATATATCAATATAACCTTAAACTTTACCGTTTGCACTGCTGTATTACATAAATTAGGAAGTAGAAGTTACAGAAGTAATTTTTCCTGTAGTTCGCTGTGTTGTTCGATTCAATGCCTTCAACATACAAGTAGAACCTGAAAAATGTGTCAAATTTTTCAAGTTGGCAGTCAGTATCAAAGGTGAAATATTCTAAACTACAGAATTTACAGATATACACCATTTGCATGCTTCACTTTCACATAAATATTTTTCTAGTCTAGAAGACAAATTCTATTCAAGTGAGGTTTGGGAGTACATTTGTTACAGGTTAGCTTTTGTTGGCACTGACAATTTTATTTAATTAATATGCCCTCATATATTGCCAAGTGAGCACAAGACTGAGATTAGATTCTAGCATAGGTCACCTCACCTTCTAAGCCTCAGCTACATCTGTCTGTCTAAATTCTACTCCTCAGATCACCAAGAACGCAGAAATTCTCACCGCTTTATTTTTGCACTCTCATATTTAAGCAAGTTGTTTGTATCCAACAGGCATCAATCACAGGATACCATTTGAATGTCAAGCGTCTGAAGCTGTAGTGATACTTGAGCTGCTCCTTGTGCTGAACTGCTCTGTCAGTTTATTGTCATAGAGTTTGGGTTGCATGGTGTGTACTTTGCAAACCAATGAGCAAGCAAAAACAGTCCTCAGTCTTTCTTATTGTAGTGTCATGTTCTGTAGATTCACAAGAAATAGTTTTTTTGAAAAGAAAATTCAGTACCTTAAATGCACTTCCATTCCAAGTTTAAACTCTCAGCATCATCTTGCTGTTGGCAGTGGCTAACTGCATCCTGTTACTGTGCGGAGGATGGAAAACACATCTACGGATAGAGCTTGTTTATGTTCTACCGCTTTTATTACCCTCACTCATGTTTGTAATTGAATGGCTTCTGTGCAGAACCAAATAGTCTGGCATGCAATAAATAAAGCCATTTCTAAGATCAAAGATATAATCATAATCATTTCTATGGCTCAGATTCATGGGTGTTTTTCTTTACATTTTTGCAATATGCAATTGCTGACATCAATATTTTTTTCTTCTTAAGAAAAACTTCAAAATTTGTGTTATTTTTGATGTCTACAGTATTATAGACCAATGCATAGGTATTTTTTACTTTGGACTTGTAATTGGGTCAAATTAGTGGCTATATAGGGCATAACCTAGATGCTGATGTCTACTGGTTTTAATCACTTTTGTTGGATGAGGTCAGTATCTGCTTATGCAAGGTGAATTAGTGCAGAAGAAATCATAATTAGTCATAATTTAGTGACATGGAATAATCATAATTTAATGACATGGAAATCAAAATTCATTAAGATAATTTTTATTGCTAAACTTAAAATGTAAGAGCAAAATCAGGATAACTGTTTCAAAGACAGGGATATTAGACTTGAATTATCTGAGCTCCCGATTTATTTTCATTTCACAATTAGAAATACTATGCCAATCTTATAATGAGTAAGTACTAAATACTTTGTTGTTTGGGTCAATTTATGTCATAAAGATTTTTTTTCAATATCATAAGACATAGACTCTAGATCAGTATCCTTTGGGTGCTATTGGAGGATGCTGGCAATTCTTGGAAACACTGGGGCCTAGAGACATTGTTGCCGCTTATCTGGTTCGTTCATGGACCTGGAATTCTTTAAAGTTGAACCAGTGATTATATGGTTTAGTCAAGTTCTTATGTCTCAGTGGTGCATAATAATTCATTCCAGTAAAACTTGAACTAGGACAGATATTTTGTAGAAATGTAATACAGATATAACATAAAGGCAGGGACCTGGGAATGAAAGGGTAGTGAT